GTGGCGCTGGTCCATCAGATGAACGCTGACCACATCCAGCGCCACTTTGGCGGTGTCTGCCTGCGCTCGTCGTAGGTAGGCACCGTCTCGGGGGTCCCTCTGTGGGGATCCCTGTGTGCACCTGTCGCTCCCTAGGTGGTTCTCGTTGTAATCTTTTTATGGCTTGACTTGTATTTTTGTTGTAATTTTGCTTTAATTTTTGCTGTATTTGTGTGGTATTTTTGCTGAATTTTTGTGTAAAGTCCTTTGTATGATGTCTTTTCTTTCTGTGGTCGGTTGCCTTTTCAACCCGACGCTGTCTCTTGTTGTATGTGAGCGTGCCGTGGTGTTTTTTATGTTTGTGCTGTGATGGCTTGTAGTTGTGATGTGTGACTGCCTTTTTGGGTGTCTAGTGTTTGAAATGGCCGTATCTCTGGTTATACTTGGTCGTTTTGTACGATTTTTGTTTCTATGTGCGTGATTCTTTGCGCTTGTACTTTTTGGCATGATAGAAGCCGATAAATGTAGCTTGTTCTCTTGTGTTGTTTTGCGTGCCGTTGTGATGTTGATGTCGGGGTTGCACAGCTTTGCTTTCAGCTCTGAGGTTCAAACACCTAATTTATTTATTAGAAGAACATCTTGCTCACTCTCACTGTGTTCGCCCGCTGTATTGTGTGTTTCATTCTCACTGACTTCGCCAAGTGGGGCTGAGTTTGCATGCTCACTGTGTTCGACAGGATGTGAAATGGCAGCGGGCAAAATGGTAGTGGCAGGGGGTGAAGCAGAGGGCGGAGAGGGATCGGAATGGGTTTGTTGTGTACCCGATGGATATGGCAGCACCATTTGAGCGGGTGTAGGTGATTGCACCAATGGCTCAGGCGTGACACTGCCGTTTGTGTCACCGGCACCATCATGCGCGGGAGGGGCGATAGGGGTGGGCGCGCGGAGTGCGGTGGAGCGAGGAGGGGAGTCGCTTTCGTCCGAAGACATGGTCAAAAAATCCGATGGTGTGTTAGGAATCGAATGATGTGTCTGTCTCGCGGACTCGGGCGAGGGTTGTTGCTCCCCGCTGCCATTTGGCTCAGAGGGCACCGATGCTGACAAATCCTCGGTCGTAGGGGCTGAAGATGTGGCAGTGGCGGCGGCAGGCATTGCCGCAGCAACTTGAGCAAAGGAGCGAGGGCTGGATGGCGTGCGAGGGGTGCGGGGAGAAGCATTGGAAGTGTTTCCGATGATGGGATGTTGCTCCCCGCCGCCGTTTGACGTCCTGGTCACTGGCTCGGCCGCGGGCACGACGGCACGTGCCG